CATCGCTATTAGGTTGGAGGCCATTCCTACTGGAGGCCATCGCTATTTGGTTGGAGGCCATTTTTACTAGGAACAAGAAGCTACTAGTAACATCTAGTAACACGTTCTCTTGAAAAGAACTCTTGGCACAGCAATTCCGCCACTTGGGGCTCTCAGGCGACACGAACTCACCATATGCATCTGGGAATCTGAAGGTGAACTAACCATTTGTTTCCATCACAAGCTGCGGTTTTGCTGTAGGTGACGGTGACCATGTTAGGTTGGGAGAGCTTCTTGGGCAAAGGAGTCGCAGACTTGGAGCTAAGGTGAACCTACTACGTTCGCATTATGACTCTTCTCGCTCTCGCTTTGCTTCCATTGGCAGCTGGCACTGTTGTTCGTCCAGCCGATCTGCCAGAGGAAGAGTTTGACAACTTTATCGCCAAGCACCCTGGCTGAGTCCAATTTGATGGGCAGTGCTGTCCATCCCCACCAAAACGAGCTAAGTTTCACCCAGTGTTAAATGAATGAAGCCAAAATCACTCCCAACCCTTGACCGTCCAAGAACTCTCTTCATTGCTGCGACTTCCACTTCTCCTCGTTCGGCGTTCCTCGTTCGTCCGTCACTTGTTGCGGTTGAACTCTGAAAGAGACTGGCGTTCGCCGAAACAGCCTTCGGGTGATGGGATCCAGCCTGGAGGCTGTGACTCAAAAGCCCAGCTCAGCAGTTGGTTTTGATGTCCTCCGATGAACATTGGAGGCTCTGAGCCGAGCTTCAAACCTTGTCACATGCGGTGATGTTTGGTACTTGTCCAACTTGTCCCAGTTGGTTGTAGGAAGTTTAGATGCTGAACGCCCAGGTACCATCGGAACTACACGAAGCTTGGCAAGACTTACATATCTGGTGTGCTTGAGACGGATAACATTGACAAACGTTCAACGTTGAAAGAGTTTCTGGTTTATTACTTTTAAAAAGACCTTTTCAATGTTTCGTTGGGATGGGGACCGGGGACAGGGCTGTATGTATTCCAGCCCAATGTTTCAACCATCCCTTGGCCTAAGTAGCATGATGTGGTGGCGATTCATACATTTTCCCGGATTTCTCAGCATCCACCCTCTAAACATGTGTGGAAAAATCATCCTTTAAATGAGGGACGAATCCCGGTAGGGCGAAGATCCCGATCGTAGAACATCATTGGGGGTAGCGTGTTGCTGTGTGGAAGAATCTCCAGTTGACATATGCCCAGATTTGTGGGGTTCCTTTGTTTTGTTGAATGGGCTATGATGCAGAAATCATGCCTTTAGGCGTCGTGTTGAGCCTCCATTCCCCCCTACTTCCATTCACTTGAACACATCAGAACCACCAGGTTTTGGTTCCGGAGCTCTTCCAAACAAATCCTTCTTCTTTCCCAAAGCACCTGCGAAGGGTTCTCCGTAAAGAACGGCTGCCAACTTCAACTGTCCAAACATCATCATCATCATCATCATCATCATCATCATCATCATCATCATCATCATCATCATCATCATCGTTTTGTGTCATCTCCTTGCGTGCTTTTGGACCCCTGCTGTCTAGAGTTTTTGTCATGCATTTTCGTTTCTTTTGAGTGGCCGCCAAAAGTGATTTTCCCGCCTGTGGTGCGAAAAAAACCTCCCGCCAGGAGACACAGCCCAGATTACCTGGAGCGCTTGTCGATTTTCCGCACGCGCTTCAACGAAGCACAGCGCCTCAACGCGCTGCCAGGCTCGTCGGGTCCGTTTGGGGTCCGGTAGGCGGCCTTGGCCCGGCGACCGAACCGAGGAGGGGTTCGGCCAGTGGGACAAACTAAGTGAAGTTCATCATTGGTGTAAAAGAGCAAATTGGGAGGTCTGGAACATCATGGAATCTACCAGGTTGCCCACGCTCTGCTCGTCTCAAGGGTGGGATGGCCGTCGCGGCAAGCGTCGATGCTTTCGACGCGGCAAGCGCGGTATCGGCGTGCTTCGTACCAGGACGCGGATGGCGCGCGGGAATGACCCCTTTGGCTGACTATACCGACAAGGACACCGGGTGTTCAGGGCTCCAAAGGTCACAGCATGTTTTAAAGATTTGTGGCACAAAAAACACCTCCTGTAGTTAGAATTTAGAATGTCGTTCACGTGGTGCTGCGATGGCGTGGAATGACATAGAGAACACAGGTATGCCATTCGCGAGTCTTTGTGGCACCGATTATGCACTCGAATCCATACCTGCATCATCCACTCTGAAGACACCAGGAACAGTGAAGGACAGTCATCAAATTTTGCATACAGATCATCTAGGAACGGGGCCCCTACACTGAGATCATCTGGTCCCAGCCCAGAGAACGGCAAAAAACGGTCGATTGGTTCATCGCCGCGTTCGAGGTTCGAAGCTTTCCTTTCTGCCGTTCGGTTGCTCTGCAGAAAAGCTGCGTTCCACAAGACTGTTGCCCCTCAGCAAGCTGAACGGCACAGACTCCGACATTTTGACACGGCCAGGAGCTGAAGCAGATCAGGGGCTGGAAAGGTGCTCGACGTGACTGGGTCCAAAAAACGCCTCGAGGATAGTTGAAACGAAGACCGGACATCCAAAGGCCTCATCACCATGTCCGGAAGCCTTATTGACCCAGGCCCACATGGACCGTGAAAAAATGTCATAAAGGCTATAGAAATACAATTTGTCCTCTAATCCACCCACTGGTTTTCCACTTTGATGATTTCAAAAAAAAATGTCCTCAACCACCATTTTCACCCTACCAGGCTCCACGTTCCCTCCTCTTCCAGCTGAGAAGAGGGTGACTGGAGCGCCCCCCATCCTTCCGTGATGCAAGTCGTGCCCGTTTGTGGGGTCACGTCGTTGCCGAGACCTGGGGGACCAGGAAAAATCTGGGACACACCCTTTGATGCTCGTTGGGATCCACTTGCAACACCCATTTGTAACCTCAGTTTGAGTCTAGTTGCCAGGGGCATGCATCACCAGCTTGATGTCTCAGATGCTTTCATAATTTAAGACACTCTGGAATTGACCTACCACTTCAGAGAACTCATGAGCCATTCAGTGTGTTGCAGGTTTGCTTCAAGGTGTAGGTTGACATTTGGAGGATTCTGTTCATTCTGACGCCATTTATCCCTCAGTCGCACTTCGGGAGTCGCATCAAGAATCCAGATACTTCCACCTCATTCTACATGCATCGCATTGCATCGCTGTCGTTTTCACGGAAGCACCACATAGCCTCGCCGTGTGCGTCACTGACCAACCAGCGGTTCGGATGCTGCTAGGTAGCTCATCCGGCAGGAGCCGGACGGAATTGGGGTGACTGGAGGTGCCGAAAAGGGGGGAATGCCAGGAAAAATGCGCTTTCAGCAGTATGCTGCGTGCAAATTCCGTTCGCGGTTCCGGAAGTGGAAGTGGAGGTGATGTGTTTCTTCCAAATGTGACTGGTTTGCTATTGCTGTTGTGCAATCTGAATCCGCGGAAACCGTCAGGAGCAATCTGAATCTGCTGCAGAATGATGATTTGCCGGAGAATTGGCAGAAATGGAGGAATCTTAAGACGTTGCAGGCAGAGAGTGTCCGGGGGCTTTCCGCCTGGCCATGTGTTGGGAAAAGTCTGGCGCTGTGGCAGAGAGATCAGCCACAAGCATTGCCTTTTTTCATCTGGTGTTTGTTCAAGCCGGCCAGGTTCATGAGAGCGTTTCCTTTGATCACTCCCAAGCGATTCGACGACTTTCAAGTAACCCAACTTGTGGTCAACTGCTGACAACCCGAGCTGTTCTCATCCTCACAACTCGGGCATTGATGGTAGAAGGGAAGGGACCATTGAACGCGAATGCCCGAGCAGCCTTCAGCACAGTGGAAGGAGCACTTTCCCACTCAAGAGATGACTTTAGACGTCCACGAGTGGTGCTCTGCTCTACTACCCAGAAACCACTGGACCTGTCGACACCTTGACCTGCAAGGTTTGATGCTTCACGGCACCCACCGGACCACTTCGGGGGTCCCTCATCGCCAGGTGATTGCCAATCAGGGCTCCTGTGGCTCCTGCTGGGCCGTCGCCATCTCAGGGGCACTGAACCGAGCGTACTCGAGCTAGCGAGCTTTCCAGTGGACCTTTGGTCCACAACGCGAGAGCACGACTCGTGGACATGGATCGAGGGCAGTGAACATTGTTGATGTCACCGTGCGTTGAAGCATGAGCACTTGAGAGGGAGCTCGTAAGAGCACAATTCAAGGCGGTCCCGAAAGTAATTACATTAACACCTTACGATCTAATTAATATAGTTACCGCAGTTACCGCATTAGCCGACTACCAGTAGTGCAAGAAGACCTGAACCTCTCAATGGCAATGTGCAAAACGTAAGGTCAAGGAGTCTGCAACAATATTGTTAAACTTAAAGGTTTCTTGACCAGGCAGAGGTACATCCCGGTGATCAGTCGTGATAATGGTCCCTTTTCTCTCGAATTCTGAGCAGTGCCCCTGGAAACTGGGCTTGACACACTTAGATCCATGCTCGCAAGAGCTCTATCAGTTTTGAACTCCAGTGCTCTAGCCCTTTAGGTGGATACTTAGCGCTTGACTTGCAAAACCGCAAATGTGAAGAGTCGGTTCAGCAGAAGGTTTCAGCAAGGACGCGTTAGCACTTTACCGGTGGAGTGGGCAAACGGGTAAACAGCTTGTCAACACCACAACAAGCAGGTACGTCAGTTCTGTGTCTGGAGCTGATATCCTCACCATGCATTGCCAGCTTCGTTGATGGAGCAGCAACGCAGGTGTTTCCATCCCCTGCTGAACTGTACAGTGGTTAAAAAGGGTTGAGGTGGAGGTGAATTAATGTGGTCGTGCTCCTTGGAAACAGGAGTTGACGACACACACACACGGACACACAGAGCCGTTTTTTCCGCGCCCCTGTGAGAGACTGAGCATGACTGCCGACTGCCCAGAGAGAGAGAGAGAGAGAGAGAGAGGGAGAGAGAGAGAGAGAGAGTGAGAGAGAGAGAGAGAGAGAAAAGGACAGAGAAAAGAACAGACAAAGCCGAAGAACGAGAAGGGAAAGTAACAAAGAAGTGTCCGGTCTTCCCCTCGATGCAGCAAATTCTCATGCAACCCATGTTGTGAAACACCAGGGTAAAAGCCGATACTCGCGCAAGTGGTGTATGGTTGGTATGGCTGCCAGCTGCAAAGTAAAAGGCGTCCAGAAGGGTGTACACCGCAGCGGAAAAATCGAGGGCAAGGAGGACGGACGGGAGGGACGTGGATTGTTGGCAGTGTTTGGCTGGTGGAAAAAATGCATATCTGCCGACCTGAGTTACAACCTAACAAACCTTAAGAAATAAGGAGAAAAGAACAAAGGAAAAACCAAACGAGACAAGTCAAAGCGAGAGTCGCGTGAAGAACGGATTAACGTAGATGTCAGTCTGTGAGCTCTGCAGTATCAATTTCAGTAGGAAAGTCAGTGAGCTCTGCAGCATTAATCAGTCATTCCACATAGTGAACAAATTTTGGATCAGATAGCATCCTTGGTCAGGAAATGCACGGTGTCCAAGGACATATAGGGTGGATCTCTCCTGCGGAGCAATAAATTCTGCTGCAGTGAGAAAGTGTTGCGGGTCACACTTGAGAAAGAGCTCGCAAAAGCACAGTTCAGGGTGGTCCCAAGAGTGCATTAAGGACCTTACGATCTAGTTACCGCCTTAGACTACTAGTGCAGGAACGCGATGTCCGCATGCACTGTGGTGGCTTCGCTGGGCCGTGGCTAACAACATGGATGGTCCCCCTGCTATGGAATTCTGACCAGTGCCTTTGAAAACGGGGCTTGGCGCAATTAGATCCATGCTCGCCAGAGCTATATCAGTTTGGAAATGCCCGTGAGGTAGTTACTGATTACATTAGACCCCGACCCGCAGGAACCGCAGGGCAAAAGGCCGGCAAACTTGTATAGTTTGAACAAAGCCGCCACAGCCAAAATCACCGCAAGTACATGAGAGTGATCAGCTCTCACTTCCCGTGCGTCAGGTAGCTTCGTTGGACATGGTCCTGAGCGCGCGCCATGTCCTCCTGTGAGTCTGTACAAGAAGTGAATTAAGACGGAGAGTTCTAAGGGTGGTTACTTAGCAAACGTGGTCATTCTTCTTGGATGCAGGAGGTGACGCACACACACACAGAGCCGTATCGGCGCTCCCTGGCCCTCTTTTTTGCTCCGCGGCGTGGGGAAGTGATCGACTAAACGAGCCTAAAAAGCAACCTAACAAGCCTGAGAGAAAACCTAACAACCAGAAGAAAGCAAGGAAAGAAAGCAGAGTGTGTGCGGGATGAACGGCGTCGGCCCGAGGCCCAGCCTTAAAGCCGAATCGGCGCTCACTTGACTAAAAAGGAACCTGACACCTAAGAAAGCAAGACCGTGCATGAATTACTCCGTGTATTACTTAGCAGGGTGACATGAAAGAAACCTAAATTATGCCTCTAGCAACGAGAGAAAGCCTAGAAAAAGAAGAGAAACAGCAGGAGAGGAAGAAGGAAACGACAAAGTGAATACTTAGCCGCAACCTAGAGACGATTACACAGTGGGCCCTGCGGCGTACAGATGAATCAGAGAAAAATACCCCTTAAGGGTCTATCCTCAAAGCGCCCCGAAGGGATCACACAACAGACCTCACTGGGACCCTGTTGCGAAACACACTTAGATCCGTGCTCGCAAGAGCTATATCAGTGTGGAAATGCCCGTGAGGTAGTTACTGATTACATTAGACCTTGACTTGCAGGAACCGCAGGGCGAAAGGTGGGCAAACTTGTATAGTTTGAAAAAACCGCATTTTACTGGAAAATGGGAGTCGCAGCTTGGACAACAGTTAAAACCAGCAAGAATTAAAATGATTGCGGGTACATGAGAGTGATCAGCTCTCACTTCCCGTGCGTCAGGTAGCTTCGTTGGACATGGTCCCTGAACGCACGCCATGTCCCCCTGCGAGCCTGTACAAGAAGTGAACTAAAATGGTGAGTTCTAAGGGTGGTTACTTAGCGAACGCGGTCATCCTCCTTGGATACAGGAGGTGACACACACACACATATGCGCCTGTCTATGCAATGGAAATTTACTACTTAGTATTTTTGATGTGTAGTAGATAGATCATTATGGGTCATGTTTCAGTGTCTTCGAACTTTTCCATCTGCGCTCGACTGGAAAACGCACAAACCCACCACGAGGTCACCTCCGCCACGATCCTCAACGCGCACCGCGAGATCTACCGCAATGCCACTGCCCCTCGGTCAAAGCAGCAGCGACAGACGGACGAGCACACACGGATGTGCTTGGGAAGATGACCCTGTTCTCTGGAGAGGTCTCGTTTGGGTTTGGGAACAGGGGCTGTTGAAGCGCGGTTTTGGATGCTTCTTCTTGTTGGGGGCCCGCCTGGGGAAAAAGGGGCGAGTGCAGGCTTAGTCCTGACAAACTGTGGCTACGTTTCGATCTGCAAATCGCAAGACACCTTCAAACCTCAAATAGGACGTAGGTCTCTAGTCTCTAATTTTTGGGCAACTCCATTTGTAGGAATTTAATCGCCTCCCTGCACACACATGAAGATGGTCAAGTACGCATACCCTTCTGCTCCAAGGACAAAGTATAACCTGGCAAGAGAAAAAAACATCATGTTCTTATTGTTTTTTGCATGACCAAACCCAGTGAAATGTGTAATGTTTGTAAGACCTACTGGGATAGTGTGGATTCTGTCACTCCAAAGATCTCCACTTGCTGTCCGCGCGGAGACCAGGAGCTCCTCTCACCACAGGAGCTCGTGAATTGTGCCTTGGAAACCAGTTGGACGGGACCCGTTTGGAAGAATGCTAGGGCTTGGAATCAGAAGCTGGTAAGCTGAAACAAAACAAGTCGACAAGAGGTCTTGGGCTGGCTTCCACCAGGGGCGTCCGGCAGATCTCTTCTCCCAGGTGTGCCGAATCCACAGTACCTTGGGCCGAAAAAACACGCTGTCGTCGCCCAGCGCGGGGGGGGAGGACTAAGAGGCGCAAAGTCTAGTGGCCGCACATCGGTTGGCATCGCATGGTGGGCATCGCACGAGGACGATCGCCATCCTATTCTCCACATCTCTCCACTGGAAAGCGGACAGACGTGTTGGAGCCAACATGTGGTACTCGGAGGTGCTTGGGGGAGTACCACCTCCTTGCCGCTCGTGGCTCTGGACATCAATGACGGGTCGGCCAAGACAGGATCCAGAACGGGTCCGGCCCCCCGTGGGTTTTTGGGTTCATCCGAAGAAGCCACGAAGTAGAGCGAACTGCAGCGGTTTTTTTCTCACCTCATCATACCTCATGCAGCCGGGTTTGGGGCGGCCCCCAGTGTCAGGAACTGTGGAGGAAGCGGTGGTTGTGAAGGTGCCACCGTCGAACTGGCGATGGCTTATACCATGAGGAACGGCTTGTCCAAAGACACTTGGCTGCAGACATCGGGTCTTTGGGTTGGCGGGTCTCGAGCGAAAGACATCGGACGAGTCGACGAGTCGACGAGTCGACTGGACACCGAGCAGTGGAGACGTGGAGAACAGATTGGTGAGGCCTTGCGTAGATGTAGGATTGAAGGATTTGTGCGAAGCAGGTTTCTTGGACTTAATCCGCCATCGTTTTAGGGCCTTAAGAGGCCAGATGAGTGCGGCAGAGTTGGTTTTGTGTTGCTCTTGGTTGGTGCGACCTCTTCCGCAGTGACCGGATGACTGCAACGTGGGTGCCAGACAGTCAGTCACACTACTATAACAGCGCCCACTGCCAGCGGAGCCTCAGGAAACGGACCAGCCCTATGCAGGACTGCGACTATGGTTTGTTCCCCATGCATGGTTTTGCTTTGTCCCTTCTCAACTGACCCCGACAAACCCACAGAAACTCAGGCGGTCACGTGGCGGAAGCTCATGACGCAAATTGGGGAAAAGGGTTCACCATCATAACGGGCAGTCGTTCTAACCCCCTTGCATAGAGACGGGCTTTAGAGAGGACATGTCAGACTTTGATGCACTGACTTGGTTCGATGCTGTTCGCATGGCTCGGAACCGACAGTGACGGCCCAGACCGAACCGGTCGGCGGGGGGAATGGACTGGAAGATCGAAGGCTGTCGATCCAGGTAGTTCGGTGTCAACAGTCGGTGGATTCCATTTGGTGGCAAACGGTGTTTCTGCCATTCTTGGGTGGCAAACTCCACAAAGTTCCTGGTTGGAGCCGATGCCCTTTGCTCCCTGTGCTCCAGCGTCCTTGTTCCTAGTAAGGCCAGTTTCGCCCCGTTTGTAGCCTCCGATCGCTGCGTTCGTAGCAATGCCCTTTGTTCCTAGTGTCCTTGTTCCTCCATGTTCATCCTTCCAACTCTGCAGAGTTTGGTCCCACTTTGCCTCAACCGGAGAGGAAGTGATCAGCAGTGCCTCAACAACGGACGTTGCTTGACTGAGGAAAGAGTTTTGAATGGTTTCTGGCTCTTGAGGAGTTCAGACTTCTCGCCCAGTCTCAGCCGGCTAGTGTGGCTAGCCATCACAGCATCACCAGTCCGACCATTTGAGACTGAACGTCCCACCGACGCGTCCCACCGAGACGCCTTGCTGGAGCTCTCTGGCTCCGACGACTTTGCGGACTCCGGGGCCACTTGGACTCCGAATCCACGGAGCGACGCCCACCGACGTGTGGGAAGAGCGACCTAGTCTCCTACTCAACTTACTCAAGCAACTCACACACCAACTCATTCACACTAAACCTACTCACACCAACTCCGGGGGTCTGCTCAGTAGAGGGTCTGTTGTTGGGGGGCCGCCTCTCCTCTGTCCGGTTCTTTAAGTTCTTAATTAAGGGGTGACCTTGAATGTCGATGGATACCTGAACGGAGATGGACGACCGCAGTCTAAACGTAGCTGCGTAGCTGCGTAGCTAAATAGCTGTGGTGGGAAAGAACATGAAAGAACCCACTTTGGAATGGAGGAACGAACAAGGTGTAGGACATTGCAGGACCTTTGATGGTCATAAATTGAAGAGTCTCACCGCCGCTCACTTGTTCTTCTTGGGTGCGGAGACTCCAATGACTGGCCCACTTCGGGAAGAAACCTCTGGGAGCGGAACCGACCCGATCCACCGATCCTGAGGTCCGGATGGCGACCAGCAAATCCGTCGGGCTCCACACCCTTCATATGCAAGGCCTGATTTTCTGGGAAGATGAGGTGGAGATTTTCGCCGAACAATCAGGTAGAATTTCAGAATCGACATAATTCCAACCCGTGGAGATTGGGGGTTGGGGAATTTCTTCCTTCAGTTAGTGGTCGTGAGTTTTTCTTCCAGAGTTCTCGATCGGTGTTGGGACCAGCTCCAAAGGCTGGGAAAAGCTGCCAGAGAACAAGTACGAGCCACTGATCCTTGGACTCGTCACTGGGCGTTTTCGCCCTGGCTAAGTTAGAGGGGTCGAACTATCCCGCTTTCCCGTTGGGTTGAACGAGTTTCCAGGAGGTCTGGCGATGTCAATACATGTTACCCAACGGTTTTTCCAACTCTTGGTTTAGTGTTTTTTGGTTTGTAAAGGACACCTGTCATCCCAAGGGCTAGGCTCAAATCCACCCACGGGACTGTGCATCGGAGCGTGCATACCCTTGCAAGGAGCGTGACTGGCACGTGAGCTGCAAAATGTCTTGTCACATCAGTCAGAAGCTGAATCAGACTGTCTTGAACTTAGGGCCACTTTCCACTTCCACCAGGTGGTTGAATGTGAGATCCACTCTTCCGAGACGAGTCATCGAAACTGATACCCCCGTCCGACCATTAGCTGGCCGTTTCGCTGGTTTGAAAAGAGAGAGGGAGAGAGAGAGAGAGAGAGACACACACACACACAGAGACACACTCTCGAGATAAAGAGTACGTACTGAGGCCGCCAAAGCTAGAAGAAACCTAGGTGAAAACAGGGGCCTGAGTAATAAAACCCAGGTTTTCAAGAAATCAGCCATGGTAAGCATTTCTCAATCTTTCACTCAGCTGTTAGTCCAACGTGCAGGCGTACTGTACACAATGCGAAAGCCTGAGGGTCTGCCAGGTCAAGCCCCTTGATCTCTCTTTCTGATCCAACAAAAATCAAGGATCTCTTCCTGAAAGGAGTTGCGTATATAGTTTGCACTTGACCACGTAAAATGTACAAAGGCACAAACGTCACAAGTGAACCGCGTTACATTCAATTTTGAAGCAGGTGCAGAAGTTTGCGTCCAAGCTTCCTTCCAGCCCCCTGCTTAAAAACCATAAGTTAATAAGGCTCCCTCTAACTCCAAGGGGTACAGTACACACACACACACCCCTGTGTTCTTCCAGGCCCACGAGATGTTTTTTGCGGCAACCTTGAGGTTCACGTCTTTCGGTCCGCTATTTTTGGGTCCAAGGTTTTTTTTGGGGTGGCCCGACTTGGAGCTGGTGCCCTTTGACGGAGGTGGTGCCAATCTTTTGACGGAGGTGGTGCCACGGACGCCCACGAGATGTCTGGTTCACTCCGGAACACCCCGCGGTGTTGTGACCGCACCCAGGAAGCGGGCGCTGGTGACCAAGGGCCCGGTGGCTGTGTCCGTGAGTGCCCTCGCCTCTGCGTTTGGAAAAACCACATGGTATTTGGTCGTTATTTTGCTAGCTGGCGTAGCTGTTGTCCTAGTTGCCCTTGGACAGTTCAAGTTCATGAAATTCTTGAGCTCATCAAGACTTCATAGTGTCCTTGTGCAAAGCTCAAGAACATGGCAAACCAGTAATTTGCAACATGTTTTCAACTCAAGAAACTTTTGGGGGGCAACAAGGACAACAGCTATACACCAGCAAGGATTTCTCACCTCTCAGAGGTGACCGGTGGGCGGACATGCGTCGGATGGCCCGATGGCAGGATCTGGAATCGGTATGCCCAATTCCTGCTTTTTCATCCATAAAAGTCAACCAAAAGGTAGACATTTGGCATAGTTGGAAGATCCAGGTATATATTTTATGCTCTATATGACATGTATGTGCTTTTGTTTGTTTTACCATACTCAGGATTGTTTCAGGTATGGACATCCATCGAACTTACTGTATGAAGGAAGGCGTTTTTCTGAGGTTGAATTGGAGACCGCGTGGAAGCAGACCCACCACCCCAACCCTGTGACCCGTGATGAAACACGTTCTCCGCTTCTTGGGTTGGGTGATGGTCTGGTGATGGTCTGCGTCTTGGGTCTGGTGAGGTGCTGATGGCTGGGAGTTGTACATGAGTGGCATCTTCGGAGATTGTCCACGAGATGCGGTCATCGACCATGCGGTGACGCTCATTGCCTACGGGCAGGCGGCCGTGGGGGCGGGGCAAGGGCAGAAAGTGTGGGAGGTTAGAGAAACCACGCACACATTGGTGTGAAGAACAATCCTTTTATCACTTTATGACAGTTTCCTTCAACCCATCTACAAAGGTAACAAAAGACCGTGGCAGGTAGTCAGGGTCACTGTGGCACATGTTCCTTTTTGGGGGCTCAGAGTGGTCCTTGGGGATGTCGAGTTGTCCTGCCATCCGTAGCCAGTGGACCCTTGGGTTACTGATTTGGCCAACGACCACCACGGTCAGTCGCTCCAGGTCCCCAGGTCCTTGGGTTACAAAGCCAACAGACAGGAGGTCGTCTAAGACTGTTCACAGATGGTCACAGGAATTGTAAGATCCAATCCTTTTTAAAGTCGCCCATCTTCCCATCTCTTATTGAAGGGTACCGAAGTGATGGGACCAACGTCTCCCACTCTGTCTCATGATCGGCCAATGTCTCAAAAGATGGCGCGCTACCCCCTCCCCGAAGGAGTACAAGACCAAATATTGGACCATCCAGAACTCCTGGGGCGACAGCTTTGGAGAGCAGGGCACCATGCGCTTGTTGCGCCAAGATCAGGAGGAGCGAGCGATTTCGCAGCGAGCGAAAGCGAGCAATTAAACGGCGGCCTTCCACTGGACAGCGCTTTTCGGCTTTCAAGTGGAAAAGTGAAGCAACCAGAGACAGTACGAAGTACGTGTGACAATGGAGCCTTGGAAAAGGTCTGAATGCTTGTGGGCCTGAGGAACATACGAGGACCCATCAACATTGGGAATAGGGTGGGACAAGCACAGACTCCCTGTTCTTCTGTGGTTTAGACACCGCGTGCTTTCCATCTCCGTAGCTCTCAGTGCAAGGTTCATCAAGGTTCCAAGTTAGTGTATAAGACTCCTCATTAGATGACCACCCAAAAGCCATCGACCCAGAACAGCCTTTTGCCTGATCAGATCCTCCTCCCAGGAGGACCATTGTGGTACCGACTACCAGCCTCAAATGGGCACCGGCTGCGATGGCGGTCCTGCCAGCGTTCAGGTCTGTGGAATGCCTGGGGCCCTTCGGGGTCCGAAGCCACGCCGGTGCCGGGGGAAGGGTTCGGAGAAATGATCGCAAGACAGGATGCACCACCCTATACGTTCTCAGACCGCAAAGTGATAGATTCATACCTTGATGTCCAACTGTCCAATGTCAATTCTCAAACTGTAGGTTCACTATTTCTGTCTAAATTGTTTGGTTGTGATGGTTTGACTTTGGTGCTTCACATCATCAATCAGCACATGTTCCATGCTCGCTCGCCCGCAGAGTCGCGCGAAGCGCGAAGCCTGCTTTGTGGCTGCTGGAAGTGGCTGCCAACTGCCAAGGTGTGGTATTCTCTATGACAGCGTGGTGCCAATCTTCGGTCACTGAGGCTCCGTTACAAACGGACACATGGCGGCCACACGACTGACGACTGGATGCACTGAAAAACACCCTGCCACCCTGCCGAGGTCCACCTAGAACCCCGAAACCAGAGAAAACCAGTGGGTGGTAGAGGAAAATGGTCGAAACCACCGGTTCATTCCCAGGTTCTAGCAGGTTCCAGGTCAGTTTGCGTGGGGGTAGTCATTTTCGCTATAGTCTCTCTGTTCTTTGTCCACTCTCTCATGTCACGATGGAAAACCGCTTAGAGCACAAAAAAAAAGACGATTTCTGGTCTGCAGGTTTTGTTCCCCCCCAAATCAGCGTGTTCTAGCAGTGTTTCCCCAAGATGTTCTTCAGACCACCGTACTCCCGACCTACGGTCACGACCGGCGCCGCAGGCGGGGTGGTCACGACTCGGGCGCGCTTCACGCTTGGTAGTCCGCGTGCCGCAAGCGCGGCGTGACTTCAAGAGATCTGGTGCGTGGGTGACTGTTTTCCAGTGATTGGATAGAACATGATAGAACCATAGGACTGCCATTGAGCGAAGGGGCCACTGGACTCGGAGTCACTTTCCAAGATCAACTCTTCCTTGGACGTTTTGAAGACGATTGATGTGATTCTTTGACGAGCCGATCATCCCTGGAACTAAGTCCAGTCGGATGGCTCTGGCCAGATATGGCCACAGAACTTTTTCCGCTTTTGGAAAAGGCTGTTCGATGTGCGGCGCACTGCTCAGCGATGACCTCAGATCCTTAGTCAATATCAATCAACAGAATATCATAGCGATGACCTCAGCCTGGGTTTGGAGAGGCCCTGCGAGAGCGGAGGTGCAGCAAGGCGGAGGCGAGCGCCAAATCCCGCCAGCGAGATCTCGCCAGCGACATTCGGTTTTTGGCAGGAGAGTTTGCGTTTTTTCATGTTTCACATATTCACATATTTACAAATTGACAAGACTCATATGGCCTGAGACCCGGGGTTTTGACGCACACCCATATAGTCGGTTTTTGTTTTCCCCGAATGGCTGCTCGTTGGTATCAATGGCTATCCAACGAACCCCTTGAACGGTCGAAGCAAGTGGATTCCGAACACGGTTTGGAGCCCCTTGCGAACCCCGGCCTCGGTTTGATGAACATGGCAGCACAGACCTCCACGGCTGAATTGATGAACAGAAAGGCATATGATATACCTAGAACCCCTTTGACTCCTGTTTTGATAGGAAAAGGCAATATTTTGGACAGTTGACCCTCCAACAGGGGTCACTCAGGTTCCAGGTACATATACATATATTTCAAAAAAATATACTATTTATAGACAAAAGTGCCGTGGCCACTCCAAAAGACTTGGACTTCATGAGATGTAGGATCAATATCGCAGGATATACCCCAGCGCAGGTGGGTCGCAGAACCTACCGATTTGCAACACATTTTGCCCATGCGTTGGTTGTCTCTAGTTCTACATTCAAAGAATTGTCGTGCCCATCTGTCAGGTATGCCGTGGCCAGCCATCGTATTGGGTGGGATTGGTGTGGCCCCTAGACCCCGCAGTGGTCGCAGAGCACATTGCTCCGAATGGACAAGAACCCGAGAGGGTTTCCTTTTTTGGCATGGGGAATTTTAATAGCGATGTAGAAGCGACGGCCTCCAACCAATGGCCTCCACCCTAGGCTTGGCAAGTGGGGAGGCAAATGATGTGCACATCTTAAAATTGTTGGGCCATGACTCAGGGAACGGCCCCTAAAAGCCATCTGAGAGTCGCGGCCAGTTTGGCGCAGCTCTACTGGACAACGATGGATATAGGTTGCATCACCCTACTGCACAACGGGATGACACTCCGTGCGACCATAGACTAGACATGGAGGTCGCCGCAATGCACCATGATGATTTCAGGGAGCAGCATGTATCAAGATGTGGGGCTCCTGTACTAATCATCCACGGCCCTCTTCCAGGTTTGGTGAGGGGATTTCTTCTCGCCGCTCGCGGTCCTTGTTGGGCCGCAAACGCGGGCAAGGTAGTGACGATGGAGGAAGAATCGACTGTAAGAATCGCTCTTCAACTTCAGATGATGGTGATGATCGAAGATTCATTCTATATACGTAGGTCACCTCGCACTCTTTCATGATCGAAAGTTGACTCTTCCCCAAGCTCTTCGGATCGGACACACGAAGCAAAACCCTCTTTGAGGCCTCTCCGATCTCTTTCCATTGGCCGTCCGCATCGCAGGTAGGTCGGAGGCCATCGCCGCTGGGACGGTTGGCTCTCTCGGGCGTTTTGTCCCAGGTCTCGGCGCCTTGGCGGCGCGCAGCGGCCTGCGGGCTCTGCGGGCCTCGGGCGTGAAGGTGGGAGAGTGGACGTCCCGCCGGTGGGAGCGGTCGGCGCGTGGAGAGGTCCTAGAAAACAGAAGGGAGGTGGACCTTGACAGGGTTTTGAGGGATGTGAATGGTGATCGGATTGGTTCAACCCACAGACTTCTGCATATGAGGGGTCCGGTCATTAGTTAGGAGGGTTGAAGAGCGTCTGGGTGCCAAGGTTTTGGGTCTTCTGACTTCTAACTTCCATGTTCATGCCAGTAAATGTACAACAGACTGTTGATGAATCACCCCCCGTCCATGAAGAGGTGAAAGCTGGTAAAACCATTCTGGAGACGGGGGTTTATTAGGAAGTTCCCCAGATTGCAAAATGTTGACCTTTGGATTTTCAGATTCTGCCAGAACATGTGTGGGTCGTTTGGACGGACACGTGGGTTGGTGCACAGACAGCGACCTTCCTGTGCAGCGAAGTTCGATGGCCCATGTGTCTCAAACACTGTAATTAGGAGGCCCAAGTCGAACATATTCAGAAAAACACAAACACAACGTCAACAGGCAGATCTCTGTGTTTCACAAATACCTTCACATGCGATTCTGATTCTCCGCTGGTCTCGAACCTTCGCGCAGATGAACTTCAACATGCCTTCCTTCAGCATGGGCAGTGGCCTACAAGGCTTCGAAGCCCCCATGTCACGCGCCGAGGCGTGGTGGGGGATCCGCCCCCGGTTGGGTCCACGCCGCCAGGGTCGCGGTCGCGACGGGTGGAAGGAATGGGCTTCAAAGGACCCACCCATTGGCGTTTTGGCCCAAGAAAAGGATCCACCCATTTACGGTGTTGGAATGTTTTTCTTCGTGCCCTTTTTCTTCGGTACCCGTCGTGTTTTGGGCTCGCCGGCCATCACTCGCTCCCCTCTCACCGCGCCATCGAGTCGTTGGCCTCGTGCTCATCGGCTCGGCCGTGGCCAGTCGCTCGGGTGCCGCCAGGCCAAGAAGATCCTCAACATCGGCTCGGTGGCGCCCAGCAAGGACGTCGTGCGCGAAGCGCATCGGAGGCCGGGCCGCGGATTCGGCGCGCGGGGCGCGGGGCATCGCTTTTGGGGGTTGGTTGGGCCTGCGAAACTGGGGAGTTTTGGGGGGATGGGGCAGGATGGGAGGGAATTTCCTGAGTTGGATGAGATTGGAAAGTGTTGAAAGTGTGGTTCCACAATGTGGTACAAATAAGCTCAGAGAGGTGGTTCTTCTACCATTTGTTTTGGAGATTTGTTCGTCCAGCCCACAAGTTTCTCCTCTGTTTGTCGATGTTTTGGTGTTCGCATCCGGCAAGGTTGCTGATCGCCAACCACCCTGACAAGGGCGGTTCCACTTACATTGCCTCGAAGATCAACGAGGCTCGATGCTGCGAACAGGCATGTAGATGACTTGAGGGGATCCATTTAGTGTCCCATACCTTATAAAGCTATGAAATAGGCCTTCCGAAGTAGATGCCAAGAAGTTTCATCAACCTGCAACCATCAACCTGATTGAACAGAAGCAGTGGTTCCTTTTTTCACACTTTTCCCAGCACTTCAAGGAGACATAGCTTGCGTAGTTTGTGTAGCGCCTTTAGGTGAACATCGGGTGGTTGCGGCGCTCGCGAGCTTCGCCAGGCGAAAGAGGTGATGTTGGGGAAGAAATCCACCTGAGTAGAGGAGCCATTCCTGCTCCTGCACAGACTCTCCGCCACAGTGGCGCCCAAAAGTCCGCCAGCCGGCTAGTCCGCCAGCCGGCTAGTCCGCTTGGATCTGGGCACAGGTGAGCCATCTCGCGGCTTTTTGGACGACTGGAAGGCCCAAAGGCTATCTAATAAGTACACCAAGCCTGTGTTGTGTTTGTTTTCGTGTTTGTTTTCAGTTTTTTTTAAATCTTCCTCCCAAATGGAGGTGTTTCTCGATGGCTTTCAATATTCAACTCTTCTTGGGTGTGTGCTAGATGTGATTCTCACCTTTTGAACAGCTCCATGTGGGGTTAGTGAGGATCGCAAGCTATCGCAGTCATCCTGAAATCCAGGTACTTTCGTTTTTCTCGTATGGTTTTTGTGGCCTCATGAATGAATCTTCAGCTAGCCATGGATAAACTAAATCCTCACCTTGGCCTAGGGAGAAAGATGGAGACAGTATATAGTTTTTCTGTGTTGCTTTCCTGCGGAACGCCAAGAGGCTTTGGACCATATATGCCAAGAGGTGTGAGCTCTTTTATGGACGATCTTCCCCCCAAAATATAGCTTCGAGGCTTCGAGTATCTTCGAGTACTGAGTACTCGATATCAGAGATGCACGTTCGCACCTCTTTGAACCTGCAAGGAACGCCGTTTCTGTCCACTGAGCGGGTCCGAGTTTGTGTTTCTGGCGAAAGGGAGTCCAGTCATAAGGAGATACATGGAGATGCAGCATAGACCTTGGTCGTGTCATCGGATCCATGTAGGACATGTGACATGTGGTCCAGGTTGAAGACGTACTTCGACTCATACTCTGAATCAGTTAGCTACCAACATCATAGATGTCGGATCTTGCATTCCTGAAGCATGTCAACTGAGCAATGTAGCTGCTCCTGGGCTCATGCAGATGCCTGAAGCCCAGCATTCGTCTGCCCTCCAACCATCACAGAACAACTCTGACTCTGCTTGGGACACCAGGCTATCGGGGTGAAGGAACAAGTGCGTTGGTCTCAATCCGCTTTGAGCATTTCGACCGATTTTTCGATGTCACATGAAAGATTTGGAGCTGCAATGAGAAGAGAAAGAAGTCCACTGAACATGACATGACTCGAGACTCGTTGCTTCGTTTCCAAGATCTTCCCCCTGAAGCTTTCGATGATTTTACACCCGATTTCCATCTTCCCCTGACCTGACCTGACCTGACCCGAGCCCGCGAAGCGGTCCGGACTTGGAGACCCAAGGCTCAGAGCGCTCAGCTGGAGGACCGCCCTGCCAGCGTTCAGCTGTCCGCCCTGCCGGCTCCGGTCACGAGACCGGCGAGCGATCACTGGGAGAGCGAGCAAGTCCAGGCCGAAGGGAGGGAAAGGGTCGGGAAGATCTACCAGAGACCCCCTGTTTGGGAATGAATGGACACCCCACTTAAAACCGAGATAGAAGGGGCAAGAAAATCATTTAGACACCTCAAACAGGAGGCTCTGGTAGAGGAAACCCTGGTTTTGACCCCCAGCACTAGGGGTGTCCTGCAGACCTTCCCAGCTTATCAAGGGGAGCGTCTGGCAGATACAGGATCCACATGGTCAACTCGTCCCTGCTTCTTTTCTGTGGTAGTAGGTCAAGACACCTGTGGGTGGTGGACATGTGAGCTGTTTGAAGCTGCTCTGGTCAGCTGGCAATCCAGGTCACTGGTCCACCGGATGTAGCTTTCTGGGCAGCTGCAGTGGCCGCTGTGGCCCTTCGATTGTTGGGAGGCACCAACTCGGCCTCCGCGCGGCCCTGCAGTCGCTTCGTTGAAACGACGCAGAGAACGGTGAAGAGCGCTTCGACCGTACGGTCCAGGGTGGGATTGGGTCGGAAGAACGTCCAAGTGGCTTACAAAAATTGACCCAGTCTGCTCAAATGAAAGACAGGGCCAGCTTGCATCAAGTGACTCCCATTGAGATGAGATGATGTGAGATCGAGTTGACCTCCGACCTCCAGACCTTCCTCCGGTTCGGCCGCGCGCGCATCGCGGAAAGGCACCGGACCCGTCCTGCTGGCGATGCTGCACCGGGGCCGGAAGGCACCGGGCAGCTCCCCGCGGCTCTCATGAGAGATCATGAGGAGGTACATCAGGATCACCCTGGTCTCAAGACCAGGGATATCATGGCCAAAAAAGATGCATGGAAACACACAGCATCACAAAAACCACGAGAAACACGCACACTTTGGTAGATTTTGGGCTGGGATAGAAACCAGGAAGATCCGCAGATGTTGGTTGTTTCTCCCCTAAACTAAGATCTCCATAAACAGACGACCTCCCTGCTAATGTGCCGACCCACTTGCAGCAGGTTTGGGAAGAAAAGTCATAGAAAAGGCTTGATGTTGCATATGTCTTGCAAACCACTGCAAGATTTCTAAGCTTTACTTCCAGCCTTTCTCCACTGACCAGTCCAAACGGTGCGGGCCTCAGGCCGTCCTGGTTCTACACGTGGACGTCCAGTCCGTGTCGCTCTCGCACTTGGCGAGCGCGGTGGCTGAGCAGTTGAAGGCAGAGCAGTTCTGCGTTGAGCGGTGTTTTGTTCGGACAGATCTTCTGTGTAGAAACATGACATGACGAAGGAAGCTGTGAGGAAAGTAGCCCCCGAAAAAGAGGGACTCTTCTACAGATCCAGGTGCATCTAGGTGCCCAAAAAACTCAGCACTGTCGTGCCAACTCAGCACTGTCGTGCCTGTCGTGCAGAACTTCGCCCTTCTGCCAGGAGGACGCGCCACTTCACCTTGAGCCTTCGAGCCTGGTGACTTTCGCTTCTCTGGGTGCCCTGGAAGATTTTCGTGCAAAGAGGTCTGCAGTGCGGCTGGAAGAAGTTAACGAAAATGATTTCCTCTCGCAGTTGAGCACTTCTTCCTGCTGGAAGAGACGAAGTGCTACTTGGGATTCTTCCAGCCACGGCCTGCCGCGTTCGGAAGGATCCCAGGCCCCCCACCGAGTCATTTCTGGGTAACCAGAACTCCTACCGCTGGTCCATCGTCTACACTCACTCCAAATAGTAGATGTTCATTTTTGGGATTTCCTTTCCGAGGCGGTGCAGATGACGACACGCTGAAGCTGATCTTCGATGAAAGGCAGCTTGTGGCATCTTGCTGAATGAAATCAATTGCCGAGCGTGACTTGTTGAATGTTTTTTTCCTTGTGGTCCACCATCCTTTGCTTTTTGATGCTACTGTGGCTACTGTTTTATTTGTTTAATGTCCTATATGAGTTGATCAAGGGAGATTGGCCATCATGAAAGGCATGGTCCAAAGCCACATGAAGTCAATCAGAATGCACAGTCATTCTTTGGGTGGGTGCGCTTGCAAGTGGATGAGCCTGTCAAGTTGAAATCCCACATTGCTTGAATCACATCAGCTGGGTTCAAGACGACCCAGCACGAGTCTGTGCCAGTCTATGCCAGCAACAAATTCTCACCCCAGATTTGCACAAGACTTCGCTCGACTGACTTGGCTCGATGCAAGCCGTATACCCCTTGATCAGCCAGAGATGTTCCTTTCAGCGCTCAAAAGCCCTTGGATCCAGCTGGTGCACTGAAGGCTTTCGATGACTTGAAGATGCACACGCGCGCACACACACACACACATGACTCTGCGGTCAAGACATGATGCTCATTTACTCAGGCCTTATTTCACTTGATGCTTTGGACTTCTTTGCTGACCCTGGGGATACCCTGTGGGATACAGTGTGGAATACCCGGGATACCCGTCGACAAACCTTCCAACCCTCGACTTTCCTCTCAGCGATTCCTGGCGAAGGCGACCCAAGTCGTGGACTTTGGCGAACATTGCCTACCGACGCATCTCCCGCAATCAGGTGGCAGCGCCGGTTGGGGGGCCGAACTGCTGCGGTTCTGGGCGGAACTGCGTGGCGTTTCGTTAAAAGGGAGGCCAGATGTGTCACTGTTTTTGAGAATCTCCGCATCTGGAAGATGGTGAAGAAGCATCTATCTATTCATCAGGGAAATCTTCCCCCCATGTCTATACTCATGCAATACATGCTCACAGTTTCATTCTGAAGCCAAGCAAGCTTTAGGGGCCAAGATTGCCGTTCTCGGCTCGACTCCAAAAACATAAACAAGAGCTGAGCTAATGCTCCACCAGAGAGAACATATGGCATCATGAATCAACCGCTGCCTCCCAGTTTCATGTTCAAGTGGTTGTGGGACCGTGTGATTTGCCGTTGCCGGCGCCATAGCGGTGGTGACAGAGTGGCTGATTCTTCGGGAAGGAGTTCAGCCAGCGTGTCAGCCACTGAAGTGTCCGTTGTGCCAGTGAGCCAAAGCAGTTCAATCAGTGCCTTGCGAAGACCTTTGATTGGAGGCCCCTGTGCTCACCTGGTCAACTGGAACGGCATTGAACTGTCCCTACCTCTGCTGACACTGCAAATCCTGAATTTAGGTGCTATACAGTTTGGCACATTCCATCTTGGGGTGAGCGATTCGTGGGCACTCATTGGGCAATCGGTAGCATTGCATATAACGGGATCAGAGAGCTCAACGACGGTGCCTTTGCCGGCATACGTTGGTGTAGAGCAGATTCCCTGGAAGACGCAGGCATCAGATTTGTGGGCGAGGCTGGAAGGTTTGGACTCAACCCAGAAGACCTTACAGTCGACGGATGGAGCACATTGAGGGGCATCCCATAGGCTTCGTCAAGCTAGCACGTGGTGACTCTCCAGCATGGCGACAAGCTGTGATGCTGGGATTAAGGGAAGCTGGCTGGAAGTGGTGATCAGAGCAAAACACAAGTCAGAAATGCCGGAAGGAATGGCCCAGTTCGAACTGAAAGGAAAAACCTTCTGTCTTCTGGGTTGCCCACAGAGCAAATTTGTGGCCTTCTGCAACGACTCAAAGCATTTCAAGCTAGAGGTGGAGATCAGCGAGTTGGTGAGCCTGGGAAAAGAAGCCCTGGCAAGCGGCGAAAGCGACCTAGCCTTCCTCTCAGCAGGAGAGAGTCCAAAGGAGCCCAAGAAGACCAGCAGAGCAGCAGCACGAAAGACCCTGGAGGAAAGCGAGAACTCCTCGGACAGCAGCAGCGACCACAGTTCTTCTTCAGAAGATCCAAACATGGCGAGTGCTCTGGGCAATCTGCGGAAGAACTGGCTAGAGAAGGCTACGCCTGGCGGAAAAAGAAGAAGCAGATTAAAGGACAGCAGCCGCCGTCACACCCTGCTACAACTCAAAGACAAGCCGGGCAGCAGTCAAGATCAGGGTCAGGCGATGTTGAGGCAGCTGGGAAAGGAGGAAGATCCCATCAAAGCCCGGATAGCTATGCAGATCTACAAGGACATGCAGAAGACCAAGCATCAACGTCGAGACCGGCGTTGGAGGGACAGCAGCCAAGACAGCTCGAGCGAGAGCGACCTCAGCCAAGATGGAGAAGCAAAGCCTCGACGCTCTGGTGCTGGAAAAGCAGTAGAAAGCTTCGAAGCCTCAAAGCGGCGCATGAAGCGGAACCCGCTGAAAGTGGTAGGTCGCTATGTCAGAGACCTCGAGAAAGAGCTTGGGGCGGAGGGCAGGCCATTTCGCATCCACGAAGGCTCACGTCGAGCCCCGTGGGGAAAACAGAAGACACTGCAACGCATCCATTACATGCTCTCGGAGATCTTGGAATTGATGCTGGCCGAACGTTGGGATCGTGCAGCTCTGCAGACAGTCCTTTGCCTCAAAAGTGTTCACCAGGCAGCGCTGGATGGCGGAGACTGGCAGGTGGCATGGCTTCTGTGCCACCTACCCGACCCGGTGCAGAAGGTGCGGTTTGGCGGCACCGTCGACGAACTGGGCCAAGTGACATCTTACCTCAAAGGGATCGCGGATCTCGAGAAGAGTGCAGATCGTCTCCGTCAAGCGTCATGGAACAGCAGTGCCACGGGCTGGGACCAGTCAGAAACTTCCAGCAAAAAGGACAAAAAGAAAGGGTTAGGAAAGGGAAAGAAGGACTCCAAAGAGACAGAGAATGCCTAAACAATCACACTAGGGACATGAGACATGACTTTGCGAAGCCAAAGTCTAATTCGATCCTTGATATCCTCGCTTCCAGCAGCGGGGCATTTGGTCGGTTTTTCAGAAAGATGCATGGAAAGTCATCTCATGACTTGAGGCATAGGACTTCCTCTTCACCGGGGAAAACCGCAGGACTTTTTCCGTCCCGCCTGGTCGTGCCAGATTCAGTTGTGGCAGCCAACGATTCATCAAATCGTACGGGGGGGGCGAGGCCAAGATCCAAGCTGGAGATGGACTCAGATGCTTTGGTGTTTGTTTACTTTTCTAGACGGGGGATGTCCAACATCCGAGGCTGATCAAATTGGCTTAGCTAGGCAAGCATTCATGAATCCATGGACTGATCAACATGAATCACAAGCCGGCTGTTTGCATGGTGAAATTAAAAAGTTCGTTAAGCTTAGATGCCCAGAGACTTTAAGCCGAGGAACTAAACAATTAAGTGAGATTATTCACAAAATTAGACCGCATGATTCTTGCTATGACCATCATTCCCCTTTCAACCTCGATGAACTCATGAACAACGCAACTTTCGTAAAACCTGATCGCGTGTCATTACCTTCACAAGCAGGAATACTCAACCCAAAGGACTTCCTCAAAGGGACACACCGCAAGCTTTTCATGAACATGCTTGAATGGGCGCCACACGATGAAGCACCCTGTAAGCCGACTAAAGCGGTGTTTAAAGTGCTGCCCGATGACAAGGACGCGGTGTTTCAAAAACTCCTTGCATCAGGTGTAGCATGTCTTTTGCCAGTGGACCGTGCTCTTCGCGATGCAGAATGGGAACGTAATCTCAGGTGGACTGTTCGCAGTTCCACACAAGGCAGACAGCGACCGTGTGATTTTGGACCGTAGGCCTCAAAACGAGCTCGAAAGACGTTTTGTAATGGCAGAATTACCCCATGGAAGCCTTCTCACCCAACTGATTATTCCGAAGGGTTTTTCGATTCGAGGGTCCGGTGATGACCTGTCAAACTTTTTCTACCTACTACAACACAATAAGGAATGGCTTGGTAGGAACTGTGTCGGAAAACCTTTTGATGGTAAGAATTTCAAGGAATGGGGTGGGGAAGCAGGCAAGAAGTATATGCTTGCGTTCAGGGTGATTCCCATGGGTGATCGTAATGCCGTAGACCTAGCCCAAGAGACACACCGCCAACTCCTAAAAGATTGCGGCACTATGGATGAGTCGGAAACCCTGGCATACAAAAAAGTTGTTCCAGCGACCCATACACTAGAGGGGTTATACATAGATGATCACTTGATGATGCAAATCCTCCCCTGCCGAAAATTACGAAAACGGAAGCAAAAGTACCGAGATGAAGAGATCATAAGTAAGAGCAGGGAAAAATATGCATCGTTAGGACTTCCCGTGTCATCCAAAAAGCAATTCACAAAGTGCTCAAATTTCACGGCATGGGGCACCAACGTGGACAGCAAATCCGGAAGAGTAGGGGTAAGTTTAGACAAACTGAAAAGCCTTTCGGAGCTGATTCGCGAAATATGTCAGTTACCTGTCGTGAACCAGAAACTCATGCAAAAAGCTGTAGGATTGTTTGTTCACCCCCTTATGCACCGTCGGTTGTTGATGTCACTACTCCAAGAAGTATATCAGTTCACAGGCAAAATGGATCCTAAAAAGATGTACAAAATGCCAAACGCAGTTAAGGAAGAGTTGGTGTGGTTATGCCTTTGCACACCCGTGATGCACGGCAATGCTAGGTGGCCTGTCAGCTCTCGCGTCGGTTGCAGTGACGCTTCGCTGCAAGGTGGAGGGAGAGCATCATGTCTTACCAGTACCGCAATTGCTCAAACGCTGTTCAGGTACAGCGAACATACTGGTGAACACGTCCGCATGGATTGGTCAACAGGTGCTCTCATCCCACCATCACAAATGCGTGAAGCACCGGCAGAAGTTGAGAGCTTGATGAACGCACACTGCTGGACCACAAGCCAGATGTGCAAGTTTAGCCATCGTCAGCACATCAACATCCTTGAAATGCGCATGGTAAAAGCTGAACTCAAAGAACTGGTAAAACATGGTGGTGACCCTCAACGTTGTGTGTTGTTGGTTGATTCGAGAGTAGTGGTAGGGGCCTTCGGAAAGGGGAGGTCGTCATCCAAGCAGCTGAATCGATTGCTTAGGTCCATGGTCGGTTGGTCCATCGCAGGTCAAGTATCATTACATTTGGTATGGGTAGGAACCAAGAGTAATCCAGCTGATCATCCATCCCGTGGCGTTCCAATACCTCCACCAGCAAAAAAATGATCCAGTTTTGACGGCGCAACTTGGATTCATGAGTGAGCCTGAACGAGCAGCTTTGCAGGTACGCAGATCTAACCGTGAAATAAACCGAAGAGCCAAAATTGCGAGGCTAGATCCGTCCGAAAAGGCCATATGTGAATCCAAAGTGCCGGGTGCAGAAGCAGGAACGCGAAAGCATCCTGCGTTGAAGAGCTGGACATTCCGTGAGATCTTTGCGGGGAAAGGTGAGCTGACGCGGACGTTCAAGCGCCGCGGTTTGTTACCTGTGGACGAGCCCCTTGAGTTGATCCAGCGAGGTAAGCCGTGTGAAGAACATGACATTCTTAACCCTAAAACGTATGCACAGCTTTGTCAAGATGCCAAAAAACCAAAACAAATTTGGCACTTTGGGATGCCTTGCGGAAGCTTTTCGATTCTACAGGGTTTGAATCAAGGGACACGTAGTAAAGACAAACCAGAAGGTGATGGGGGTCTTGAACGCGAGAGAAAAGGTAACTTGATCTTGTTGCGAACATGCCATCTCTGTCGGTTACTACATGAACACGGTTCTTTCTTCACAATCGAAAACCCCAAAAGCTCATACGCTTGGTATATGCCGAGACTGGTTGAACTGCTCTCCGAATGTAAAGGTACTAAGGTAAACTTGGACCAGTGTGAATATGGGTTGCGCATTCCAGATGACAACGGCAAGCATCTGCCAGCCCGAAAGTCAACCAGCTTTGCAGGGACCGTACCTGATTTGATGTCTCTCCACAAGACATGCTGCCAGAAGCACAAGCATGTTCAAGTGATTGGTAGCGTAAAAACAAAAGGAGGATGGCAGAGACGGTCAGTTCTTGCAGGCGCCTATCCCCAAGCGTTGTGTGAGCGCTACTACCGCATGTGCTTGAAGCTGTTTGACACGTAAAGCATACACTCCATTCAAATCAACCTAGTTTTTTAGCAGTCATAGCCAATCCATTAAAATATGCAGGAAGTTTTTTGTACGCACTCGTAGCGATGCCATGGAGGGTTCGAAGTTGCGGCTAAGCAAATATAGCCAAGCCTATAAAGGTAGGCTCGTGGCTGGAGGAAAGCATCTGAGAAAGTTTTTGCAGTCGGAAGACAGCTCCTTTGATCACTTGCTACATCGAAAACCGGAACAGATCGATCGAGTGTTAGAAACTTTTGTCGGGAAGTGCCACCAAGAAAACCGGAAAGGTAGCAATCTGAGACTGGTCAAACATGCACTGCTCTTTGTTCAGATCAATCGTCCTGACTTGAGACATCGCTTGAGAAGCAGTTGGGACACGGTCAAAGCCTGGGAGGAGTGTGTTCCTTCCGGAATGCGAGCGCCTTTGCCTTTGCCCCTGCTGATAGTTTTTTCGTGTATGTCACGGATGAAATCTGTTGAAGTAGGTCTGGACACAGCTAGTGGTCAGAAATGGCTGAAGTGCGCCCTGCTAGGGTTGGGTTTCTTTGGACTGTTGCGTCCCGGTGAACTGCTTTCGTTGCAGAGAAGACACTTGGATTTGCCCAACAGTTTGATTTTTGCCCTCCCGTCGATCACAGTCAGCATCACAAAGCCAAAAAATTTTCGGCAGCTCGGGACATGCCAGTTTGCTTCAGTGTCACACCCAGACATTTGTAACTGGATCGTATGGTGCTGTAAGGACTTAAAAGCAGATCAACTCCTTTGGCCTCACTCCCATGCTGAGTTTAGGAGACTGTTTAAGATAGTTTCCGAAGGATTCGGCTGCGGTTCATGTAAGTTTACTCCTGCTTCACTCCGGGCTGGGGGAGCCACTTATTACTACGATGAACACATGGATGTGGGGCGCCTGAGATTGATGGGGAGATGGTCCAATGCTCAGTCCCTGGAACATTACGTTCAGGTGGGTAAGTCGCAGCAACTGCTCCAGCGCCTCACGAAAAAGTCGGTCAAGAAGATCACAACCATGTTAAGACGAGGGTCATTTTTCTTGCAGTTTCCTAAGGTTTTGTACACCGAACTCAATCACAGTGTCTACTAGATAGCTCACCCTTTGACTGCCATGGCCAAATCCTCAGTGACGCCTGCCGAAGATGGGCCCGGATGGGTCAAAAAGATGAGAAGGGTTGTCATTAGCGGTGGACCACTACGGGGTGCTCGATATGGGGACATCCCAGAGTCCGAAGTTGCCCGATGGTCCAAGAGCTATAAAGGAGATGCTCGTTTTGGGCAGTATTGCAAGCAATTCATGGCTTCAAAATTGATCGAAGGAGTGCAGGCGCCTGCAGGTGAAAGGCTTTCCACTGACGCCTCAGAACAGCACACCACTTTTGACAAGTGGAAGCAGCGTCGAACCTTTTTTAGCAAATACATGAACAAGTGGCCAAGAAGTAGGGTTTTTCTTGCACGCTTGGTGTGCTTGTTCATTCTCTCCCGTCCTAGGTTCACGATTTTATGCGGCAGATTGTCCATGCTGATGGTAAAAACAGTGTTTCGACAGAGCCTTGCCTTGTTGACTGCTGTGCTGGACGCTATCCTTGAAGAAACCATTCACCAAGTGGACTCAGTATTGATGCCAATGCAAATCGGAACAGAGTTCAGCCCAACTGCTGCAGGGCACGCTGACAAATCACCCGGCACATACCAACTGGCTACACATTTGGTTTGTGTGGTTGTAGGCGCCATCTATGGACGGCGGGGAATGCCTCTACTAGCCCGCAATCC